AAAGGAGAGTTATGAGGAAGCAAAGCAGGTGTTTATGACAGAGAAAGAACAGATGGTAGAAAATTTAAAGGTATGGTTAGAAGACTCATGGTATGGAGGCATAGTGTACTGGAAATCTTTTGGTAACTTAGAAGGCTTCCAATTGGAGGATGGAGAACCCTTTACAGCCAGTCAGCGACAATTAATTCAATATCACGTGAAGTCTTACTGCCTACTTTATCATACAACCTCAGCATAAAAGACTGTAGAAGCAGAGATGGGAGGTAATATGGCCAATACTCCAGGTTTGGCAAACCACTTGTGGTACATTGAAAGGAATGAGAAGGAGCCATTATGCATTGGTGAAGAATAAGTGGAGTGAATTTTACAATAGGTACATGATCGCCATGGCCATTTTGCTGCTAGAGTTTTATTGTGAACATTCATTGGTCGATACTATTGGCCTACTCGCACAAAAGATATCAATCGTTACTGTATGATATACCCCAATTGTCAGCTCATTAGACTACTGAAACCCTCAGTTAGCTAAATGGCAATTATTTACTTGCAACGCTTAGACACGATGGGGTTCGATTTCATTGGTCGCTTTCCAGAAACACTATGAGGCAATAAAGATATTGTCATTAGTGTTGATTACTTTACCTACTTTCTGTTTGGAAAGCCTGTTTAGAATAGTCAAGGTGAATCAGCTATAGTACTCTTGATGGAAATAGTCAAACAGTTTGGATGGCCCCGAGTAGTGTATACTGATAATTGTGGCTACTTTGCCTCTGGAGAATTCACCAAGTCTCTATGCAGTATGTCTGCTTTACACCTACCAGTACCAAAGTCATATCCTCAATCTGCGGGACAGGCAGAACATTACATTAAACTCCTGGAGGATGGATTAAGAGTTACAATCAAAGGTCAAGCAGCTCTGTAAACTGATTGGGATTTGTATATGAACTCTATTATTTATGGAATCAATACGCGCATTCTCAATATCTGTTAGGAATACCAAAACCCGATATCTAGGAACCACCCTAAGTAGGGTAACCCCACTTGGAATCAGAATCTCTGGTCTCCAACACCCCCCTCTGGCTCCCTTACTGGGCCCGCGCGTCATCACATATATCAATCTCAGTTGCGTCCTGTGACTACATTACCACAGAATTAAAGGTGTTAGAATAACACTTTATACGTCGCCGCCGTCCATCCGACCGGATCCTGTTCACGGGATATATGAGAGGGGACCTTCGGCTAGGCCTGAGAAGTAGAACGGAGTAATTCCATCAACTGCTCAGAGAGTTACTAGGCATCAAAGGTATGAGACCTTTGGCATGGGCCATAAGTAACGGGACGGTTTTGCATAATGAGATGGTATCAAATAGTAAAGGATCACTACTAGAGACCGATACAATTGCATATACCAGAAGAGTCTAGAACTCCAAAAAATACTACCAAAGAAGCCAATTAACTTCACGGAGTGTTGCAACTGGGTTTCAGAACACGTTGTAGTCAAGGGGTGATTCTCAAATACTACAATGGTTACTGAAACCAACTACCCAGAGAGCAACCAAAGGTTGCCGACCGAGGGATTAATTACCAGTCTAGTGGAGTGGCTTCCTGCGAGTGAATAGGAAGTCATCCAAAGAAAATCTATTAGTTAGGTATGGAGTTACAAAGGATTGGAATCAAATGACCTACGATGGTTGTAATAACGACCACCTTTGCAGATATAGCCATGGATAAGACTGATCATTTTATCAATAGCGAAGACAATTGGAGCCAACTCAGTTCAACTTAAGAGCTAGGCTATAAGTCTAAAGACTCTGCTACATTGGGATATTACTATTGGGGACAGTACGTTTCCTAAGAAGAAATATCATAATTACCGAAGAAGGTGTGATGGTTTTCAGGGTCCACAGGTGTTCGCACCTTGGAAGAAAAACTCGACATTGCGAATTACGATTAAAGAAGGACATAGGTGTATGATAAATAGATGTAGTCCGCGAATACTCAGACGTGGAATATAAATATCGAAGTGCCTCCCAAGCTTTAGACATCATCAAGCAATGGAGAATAGACCTTAACAATATAATATTGTTTTTACGATTCTACCTACTTTACTTTACTTCGCTCCTAGTAGTTATAAACGAAACGAGCCAAGTCTGAGCCTTCCTAGACAATCTCCGTCTACAAAAACGAATCTCAATTGGCCTAGACAATCTTGAAGTCTATCAAGTTGTCTCCGCCTAACAATATCCATAGATTTAGTCATGCAGAGTTATTCCTAGAATATAATCCAAACAAAACTAGGTGGGATGTCACTGCAAGAACAGAGAAGGCTGCTGCTATTGTATCTACTACTATTGGAAGTGGAGAAAACCCATGGACTATGGAGACTGACCTAGCCGAACACCAGTTGGAAAGACTTGTACGCCTTGATCACATTCGCAAGGAAGCTGCAATACCACTTGTTCAACAGGCAGATTTCCAAGACATCAATCAATAAGTCCTACAATATAAAGTGTAACGTGTTCGCAAGGTGCTAATCACGTTATCGGTAAAGGTACGATAGTTGGCAGGTGGCCTGCTCTTCCAGAGAGGAGGCGAGAGCTGAGAACTAAAGGAGGCTTCGAGGGTGTACTGAGGAACAAAGAAGTAACCGTTCAACCAAGTATATCGAAATACTGTCTGTCGAAGTCTGCCTTTTCCATCGTAGAAACAGGCGGTCTTTAAATACACAAATCTGTTCATGTCTAGCATGAACGAAACTAATCAAAGGTATCAATCGATATACTTTGGTAAAACTCCTTAAGTATCAAAGCGATACTTAAAACAAAACATAAAACAAAACCAAGTATCAAACGATACTTAAAACAAACCAAGTATCAAAGTGATACTTAAGAGAAAACGTAAAACAAAACCAAGTATCAAACGATACTTAAAACAAACCAAGTATCAAAGTGATACTTAAGACAAAATGTAAAACGAAACCAATAACCGAGTACCCGTACCGGTTACATAAAGCACCAAAAGAGGGTGACCTAGTGCTGTTAAGGAGATTTCTCTTAGACCAATGCCAGGGAAGCAAATTAGAACCACAGTAGGAAGGTCCATACATTTTATCAGACCTTGCTGGACACAGAAAGAGTGGTCGGCTATGTGATATCAATACAAAACAATTGGTTTGAGTCAAGAAAGGTGCTCTCAGAGAATGTGTCTACTTAAATGATATAAAAGTATACTTGCAGTGTCATTCAGAACCAGATCCTGGGGTGAAATTGGTGGACATCATGGAGCATGAGAGGAGAGTGAAAGAAGGCATGATATAACCAATAGAGGTTTATAATTTGGATGAGAATACGGAGAATCAGAAGAGTAAGGGGAATTTGGTCTACTTGGAGATGCTTGGTGGACTGAGGGAAGTTGGATAATGAGAGAATGGTTGAAGCTATAGCTAGTCACTCTAGGTTGTCTACAAAAGGCATAGAGGGAGAAGGATGGTAGATAGATGTCATGTTCAATAGCACTGTTTTCTTAGCCTTCAGGGGCAAAGGTAAGTGGAAGGAGAGATCCTTGAGGGTTTGTGGGTTAGTAGGAGGGTAAGGTCCTGTATCTATGGTGTGTTTGCTCTGTAGAATTTCTTAACATTGAAGGGGGTGAGTCTTGGAGGGAAAATTTGTCCTCTTAAGCACTCCCGATCTTCCCACCTTTGTTTAGTTGGGCCACCCATGGAGAACAACGCAATAGACAACACTTCCACCCTTACTTGATTGGTTCCACTTTTGTGTTCTTTTCTTGTCTTTTTATTTTCCTAGCAATACGACATACTGGTGAGTCAATTCCCTGTGACACTATGCTACGGTTTAACAGGAGGTCATGATTACAATACCTTGCAAGTTCAACTACGGTAAGATCCCATGATCGCCTGAGGTGTAGTACGAAACAAATTCCACACCGGTATCGTAGCAACCAGGGCCTAATCTGCCCTATGTGGCGAGAACACCACCCCTACCACATTTGCCTAAGTAAATGTGATACCCTAGCATGGCATAGCAACCATCCCGCAATCTACCCTGCCCGGCTAACCCAATTTTTCAGAAACAGATTTGTATCATACTCAAGGTTTACAGTTTCCCCAGAGGCGTATCTAAAGGACATAGTCTGAAAGGCTCTGTTCTGTTGTTGATAGGCATGGTTCTCAAGATGTGAGGAAGGGTATGAGAAATTTGCTTAGCATTGAACATCGTGCCTTCCAGCAGGATGGAAGGTAGTTGTTGTTTTTAATATTGGCTAAGGTACTGTACAGAGAGGCGACCGGTGCTTGTACTCCAATAGTCCCCCAGAGGTCGCCCCTTCTCCCAAAATTAGATTCTATGATGCTCAGGCAAATGTGGCGTGGGGTGGTATTCTAGTCATATGGGGCAAATTAGGCCCTTGTCGCTACCCGGGAGGGCATTCTGAGAGATTTCCGTAAAGAAAAAAAAGCTAGACGTATGATACTGCAACCCTACATTTTAGAGGCGAGGAGAGATGTCAGCCGCCATGCGGTGAGATATATACCTTACGGCAAGGCCAGCGTAGGATGCCAACTTCGCCGAAGAGAATTGCGAGTGGAGGGCTAGGACATGGTACGATATTAGAGAGGTTCCAGAACGAAGTGTGGCACTATAGTAGGATACTGTAGGTTGGGGGCGCCCGGAGAAAAATTGAAGAGTGAAAGGGTAATGCTCGTGAAAAAATCCGTAGACTCGATAAAACGAAACCCAATTTTTATATCATGCGCCCGGAAGTTCTTGCCAAGAACATAACTAAATCTAGAATAGGATATTTCCTTCATTGACTGGACTAAATTTAAGGGTTCCGACTGAGGCCTTATCCACCAATCTCTTGGCCGCGGTGGGTGGCTGTGGGGCTCGGGGACCTCCGCTGCCTTAGTGGAGCAGCGGTTCTTCCCCCACCACAACCGTTTCTCCCTTAGTTATATTCAAAGGGTTTCTTCCATGCTACCTACTCAGGTGTTCGCCCACTGAAACCCGCACCGTCAAGACAAAGCTCTGCCAGTCAGTGGCCCTTTCACTTGTTCCATCTAGCGAGCGACGGAAGCCTTTCATCAAAGGCCCGGTTTGCGAGCTAAAGTCGTTGACCATTGAGCACCCGATTAGGAAACCTACAACTACTCGTCCGTGCGGTACAACAATCCTCCATGATGAACCTCGTGCCCGAGAGGGTCAACCATCGGTGGGAGAGGCGTGATGGGGGGAGATGTAAATACTAGCCAGACTCTTCGAGACCCTCGAAAGCGTCTCTAGGGCATCGACAGGGGCAAGCTTGTTACTGCCTAGTGAGAAAGAAAGCGGTCAGATGTCTCCACTTTGCTAGCGGTGGAATTCCTGGTGGTGCTTGGGGAGAACTAGCTCTTCACTATCAAAGAAGTCGTTGAGAAGGTTGCCGCCGTCCCGCCGCGCAATCAAGGATATAAACCCCCTTCATGCACCGTCGATAACCCCTTCCCTCACCATAGCGTTCACCATGGCCTGCTGAACCTATCGCTTTCCCTCTAAGAAAAATTGCGTCCCCTCCAAAAAATACAATATGAAGTCCCTCTACCTGGCACTCACCCTCTTCCTTGCCCTGCTCGTTGCCGCAAACCCGGTTCCCAACCCAACCGCCGACCCGGATCCGGATCCCGTCGCCATTCAATTCTACGGAGCCAGTTTGACCGGTATCCCGCTCAAGCGTCGTGGTGAGGAGGAGCCGGCTGTTTTGGTGAAGCGCACGCAGTCGCCGACATCGGGGGAGCATGCAAATAAATGTGGACCGAATAATCAAGTCGGGGGTGTGTCATATACGTGTGGCGCAGGGAATGCTGGTCCTTGCTGCTCTATTAACGTATCCCACTTCGTTATCCCTCCTCATGGGGGTTGCATAATACTGATGAATGGTGTGATAGGGGTGGTGCGGGGCGAACAGTTACTACTGTGGCGGTGGTTGCCAGGACGATTTCGGATCTTGCGCGATCCCGTACTTGCAGCTGACGTATGACGCGGATGCGGGCGATTCTATATGGGATATCATCTCGGACAACGTATTCGATGCAGCTGTTGGAGATGGATTACTTTATTATGGGGTCGGTGAGTATTAATCTCTGTGCTCGATATCTGTGGACTGGAGTGACGGTGTATCGCTATACAGGCCCTACGGGTGGGTGGCCCAACTAGCCCGATCATGGACTTGACTGGCTGCAGCTGAGCATGTCTGCGGGTAGGAATAATCGCAAGGGTGTTATTGAGTGTGAATGTTCCGATTTTCTTTTGTCTGCACTATTTTCTAGGAATGAAGACTCCCGTCCATCTGTCCAAACTATTGTCTCAGCCTGATGTGTTCCTGAGTGTGATTTCGATTTGTCCGGGGTTCCTTAAGTAACCTATTTATCTTAATCCATACTTGGCCCTGAGTTTCCCAGATATATATGGCTTGAACGTAATGAATGATATTTCTATGATTGTAGAATAGTAATCTTAGGAAACAAGTTACAGCATATCACAAAATTAGAGCTAAACGAATTCTATCCTGGCTTACCCCCCGACCTCAACGTTTCCTGTTCCATATCTCTGCCATCGATGTAGTAGCTGTTTGGGCCGGAGGGCCTCGTTGTGACGTAGAAAGGTAAACTCCGTGGGGGGGGGACGTAAGTCATTAGTGTTCTGTATTGGGCTACTAGGCTCTGGAGTAAGGAATACAGATATAAAAGTTGTAACAATAGGCCAAAAATCTAATGGCGAACAAAACCCAAAGTTTATAGGTGTCGGTTACCCTCCCTGCCAGCTAATCTTCCGGTTGGAACGGCCTCTCCTCCGGTATCGTATCCGATTTTCCAAAATATGTACAGTGGGCCCTCTTTATAGAAAACTGGCTTCGGATATCAACAAGCCGAGAGACAAACAATCCTATGGGAAACATCACAGATGATACAGCACCCTAAGTGCAAACCTTCCTAATTCCCAAGCCTGCTGAACGGGGGTGCTCCTGCCGAAATCTGGGCCGGCCCCCGTTACCGATTCTGAACATCTTTGAAGCTATGGTACCGCGGAGGGTTAGGAGTCATCATTAGGAGTCACTCGGTTTCTTGTTTCATTGACTCCTTGTCTCACTCCGCGGCAGTTTTGCATCCCAGGGGAATTTGACCCTTGGTCTTGCCCGGTTTGGGAACGACATCCTTGTACTAAAGGCCAGTCCTGGTGACCGGTGAGTATGATATTATATGATACCCTCTCTCTCTCTCTCTTTTTTTTTAAAAAAAATAACCAATCCTCGAAAGTTTCCTTAACGTGCAATAGATTACCCATCCAGTCTGGGTCGTTGTACTGTACCGGTGTCTGGTGCACCTACAATATGGTTCCTGTCTGGACGCTGCTGTGGATTTCCGTTTATCCTATACTACTCTTTGTATTTAGGATTTACTTCGGTAGGGGTATGATAACCCTATCAAGATGTCTGGATTTGTAGAAGTTGGCTATGGCTAGCTTGTACTGTTACTGTTATTACTTAACTAGTATGAATGGGATTTGATCATTGCGTAAGAATGGAACTCTTCAGTGCAATAATGTAGTGACCAATTCCTGAACGATAGGGCATCCAGCTCACGGATACCTTCCTTAACCAAAAAGGCCACATGATAAACCAAGTCTATTATAAGAGTATTCAGTTAATAGGTGAGAAGTATATGAAAAAAGGACATTTATGGTAGTAGAAGTACTAGAGCAGATATTTAAAAAGCCGGAAAAATGAGAATACTATCTGGCACAAATTTAGGCACGTAGATCGCGAAACGTACTGTACTAGTACAGGTGTCTGGGGTGCGCCGCAAGGTCCTGTAGGTGATGGGGAGTCCCTACAGGAAATATGCGGGAGTTACCGATAGCTGGAGGACCGCGTCGGCCTGCTGTCACCCCCTAGGACAATAGTATTTCCAAAGGAAGAAAGGTCTTGCGCTACAGCTCGAGACACCACTCCCGGGGTGCTGGGGACTGGAGTCTGGTAGGTGTATACAGACGCCGCGGACACTTGGGGTCGCTTGCTAGAGCTGTTTTAGAACTTGTTTTCCTCTGCAGAAGGCAAGTAGAAGTTCGTAAACTATCCTTCACGCTGGAATATTACCGACGCCAGAGAATTTGGAGACACAGAGAGTATCCATAAGTGAACAGTGCTAGGGGTTTTTCGCAACCGCTATGTGGGCGCGGAGTGTAGAACGTAAGCTAACGTCTCAAATACGGGTGGGTAGGAGAATAGGGTTGGCTGACATGCGGGGAGGTAAAAGGGGGGGGTGGGAACGTGGTACAGAGGGTGGGTGTCGAAAGCGATAGCAAGGTGCGGTGATGCGCGGGGGTGCTATAGCTTGGTGCGTAACCGGATCAAGCGGATTGGCGCCAGAGGAGAATGGCTGACACTTCCGTCACCAGGTTCGTACTTGTATGATATCATACCCGTATTGTACCGTACAAGTACGAGTACTCGAGCACAGTTGGAGCTGGGTGAAGGTTGGTGGACCCTGACCACCATGACAAGGATTTCGCTAGTTTCTGATTTCTTTTCATCTTTTCAACCTCCCCGGGTACTGTACTTGTACAAATGGAAAATTACGCTCATCAGATCGAGAGTTTCCTGCGGCCTGGGAGTTGCTGATATGACCTACTCGTAGAAGAGGACTAGTGGACGGTACAGTATGATATACGTCAATCTTCCCCTATCTTCCCCCCGCCAAAACGAGTGGAGGACGAACCGGAGTAGTACAAACCCTAACCCACAGGCTTATGCACCAACACCTCACAGTTCATCCTCCTATCCGAGGAAGCAAACTTCAGTAGCTACTACACTCCCTGGCCCTCTTGCTTCTTCTAGTCTTCCTAACCTGGTTGGAAAATATCTCTACGGGTATCGGAAGAAGACATTCAATTGCTACGTCGACGAAACTCAACTTCTTGTAGTTCTACAATCAACCGATAGGATGGGCGATAGGCAATCACTGCAACGGTAGGCTTGCGTCTATAGGCGTTGATATTCACTAATGACAATACCTATCGTTCTAGTCCCTCGGCGAGCGGATACGTTAAAGGTGATTACAGCGGCAATGCTGGTTCTAGTAATGTCTTCGGCTCCGGTAACACCACCACGAACAACAACGTGGTGGTTGTTGTTCGTGGTGGCTCTGGAGCCGCGCCTGAGGACTACGCCGAAATTTTGCAACAACTATACCTGCCTGGATCTGGATACCGGTCGCACCGAAATCGGGTTCCGAAGCCTGTCGAGGGAACGTGCACCTGGATTACGGAGCATCCAAAGTATCGGGAATGGTTGGAAAATAGAACATCCAACCTACTCTGGTTCTCGGCGGTCCCAGGTTGCGGAAAATCCGTCATCGCTTCATTCCTCGTGAGCCATCTAGAAATGCGACCCGACACCGTTGTTTGCTATTTCTTCTTTAAGGACGATAGCGAGGAACAGAAGAATGCAACGTCCGCCCTCTGCGCCATACTACACCAGCTTTTTGATCAGAGAAACGCACTCTGCGATTATGCTGTGAAGCCGTTTAGGGCTAAAGGCAGGAGGTTTACGGAGGAGGTGGATACATTGTGGGATATTTTGGTTGAGGCAGTTGCTGAGGGGGGGTGCGGCGAGGTAATTTGTGTGGTGGACGCGTTGGACGAGTGCGACGAAGTGACTGTAGCTCCGCTTATGCGCCACATTGCCGGTCTTTCTGAACCACCAAATTCCGATATACCTTTGAGATTCCTTGTTACAAGTCGCCCCTACCACGAAATTGAGAGAGAACTTGGCTCGCCCACAACGGTGACCCGGCTGAGGGGGGAGCACGAAGTCAAAAACATTACCGCTGACGTTAATCTTGTCATAGGTGAGGGCATTAAGAACCTAGAGCAATATTGGGGGCAACTTGGGGGACTGGGATATTTGCGGAATCTCCTCGAATCTTCGGCCGATCGGACATTCCTTTGGGTTTCCCTTGTTATCGAGGCTCTGAAGCGTTGCACGGATGACTCACCTGAGGTGTTTGCTAAAATTGTCTCCACTGCTCCACAAAACCTAGTACAATTTTATACCAAGATTCTTGACACTGTCGCAGACCCCGATAAAGCCAGACGAATCCTAAAAGTAGTGGTAGCAGCTGCGCGGCCTCTTACACTTAGGGAAATGAACGTCGCGTTTAGAATCGGGCGGGATCATAAGACAGTTCACGACCTGCGGGATCTCCCGTTAGGATTCGAAAAGACGGTGAAAAATCTGTGCGGGCTTTTCGTGCGGATTATCGATTCAAAGATATACCTCGTTCACCAAACGGCGAGAGAATTCCTTATTAAGGAAACATCAACTGATCAGGGGAACTGGCAGTATACCCTATCTCCCATCGATTCTAGCTTTCTACTGGCGGACATTTGTATCTCCTATCTTTTGCTGGACGAGTTTGAAAACGACCCATTAGTGGCGGATATTCACTGCAGCACTGGAAGGAGGGCAGTTGATAATTATCTCCAGAGATATGCCTTTCTTGATTACGCAGCTAGCCATTGGGCAGACCACTTCCGAGATTCACAACATCGGCAGATGGAGTTATTCGAGCGAACTTGCCAAATTTGCCGAGGTGGATCTAACAGATTTCGGACGTGGCTCAAGGTGTATTGGAGAAATCTTGATGAGGATTGTCCCTTCCCAAACAGTCTTACTCATTTGATGATAGCATCATGGCTCGGGCAGCGGATGGTGGTGGACCGGTTATTGGAGAAGGGGGAGGATGTCCAAGCTCGATCTAGAGAATATGGTACTGCATTGAATATGGCGGCTCTCCGGGGAGATCAGGATATCGCCACGGCGCTAGTGGAGCGGAACGCCATCGCCTATATACGTGGCAAGGGGTATAACATCTCGAACGTGAGGGCGCCTTCTGGTATGGTTGGCTGTTGCGTGGCTGACTATAATGTTTACCTTGTTTTATAGATGGTATGTGGGTTTGCTGTCATCGGGGGTAATTGAAGCTGACTGAGAACACGGTCTACATTACAGAAGGTAATTCAAAGTCTTTGATTACTTCTTCGCAGTTTTCGTGTTGCTGATACCGGGGGTACTGGAACT